ATTGGCTACATTTTGTATTGGTAGTACCATTTTAGACTTATGGTAGCAATAAAGGCAAATCTTTTAACTTTCTCATTGAGTGATGTGGGATTAGAATACTTGTTTGGTTTTTATTGCTGTTTATGCCGCGTTAGAGAGATTATCTTCTCTATATGTCTAGCTTTCCTGTTCTCACTGAGAGTAAAAGTGAAACAAAAATGTAAAACTATTGGGTTGTTAGATAACTAACTGTAACAGAGAGGAAAAAATCTTCCAATGGGGGCACTAGTTCTGGTGACCCTGCTGACATCCAGGGATTCCCCCACTTTAGAGAGATTTCCTCTCACATCCTGTTTATGCAGGCCATACATGGTTCGAAACCTGAACGATTTTTCGTCCGAAAACTGAAAACTTTGTTCGCTCGGTAATCCGATGGTGCCATCAATGATTTCGAAAATCAGCCGACCAAGTCACAAAGTTCACCCCATATAACAGGCGAAACTGCTGTTCCTTCCAGGTCAGGGCTTATGCGCATATTCTTTTTAGAAAAATGATCATACGAGTCGAAAATCGGTCGTTTTTCACGAATTTTCCAACATGCCCGATCACCGAAAAGGGGAGGAACCACGAAAATCGGCCAGTGCCATTGACCTACTAAGAAAGCAAAAATTGGTTGATTATTGTTAGGTCCGATTTTTGGACAAAAAATCGTCAAATTTCGACCCATGTATGGCCGGCATTAGACTATGGGAGAGGACGTGAATAATAATTTCCCCAGTGAGACACAGATGGCGAAAAAAAACTTGACATTGTGGTAGACCAGGCTGAAGTGGATAGAATGGGGAAAGGGATATATCTGTTGTCATCTCCCCAATAGAAGCATCATCACCAATAAAGATCTGATGTATCAAAATAAAAAAGGTTTTTGTCTGGAGATGCACTCTTATTGGTACCCCAGATTTAAGTGAAGCTTTACAACTGAAGATCCCCCCACTCATTCCTGTGGTTTTTTTTTTCCCTATCCCCTCCTACCTCTTAAAAAAAACACACACCCATCAAATCCAGCTACAGCCTGCTGTGATCCACTGCCAAATGCCAGGTCGCACGCTATAACCTTCCTTCTTATGTCATTGGGTACTGCCTTTCTCTCCTGGGTTCTTGCAGCCGGCCCCCTGTTGATGTGCTGCCAGGTCTGCATTCCAGCCGCTGTGTATCCCTGCTTCTGCAGCCCCCTGAGATATGTGATGGGGATATTCCATGAGGCTTGGTGCTGGGCGGGCGAGATGTGGCCGTGGCATGGGGTAGGGCTGGGCAGTACAGAGACAGGACAGCGATCAAGCTAAGGGGGTTGTGCTGGAATAATTATATACAGACTCCGACAACAGTTTAGGTAAGTGCCTGTGATCAGCAAACATTGCGCTGCACAGGCACACCGTTGTCCGTTAGGCTCAAAAGATTGCTGATTGTCTACATTAAACTGGTGTTTCTTATCTAGACAATCAGCAACTAAGATAATGCGAAATATAAAAATTTGATTTCTTATATACAGTATACTAAACAAGGGCAGATTTTGATTCATATACGCACAATGAGAATATCAGACAAATGGTTGTCCATTTTTTTTTATTTTTTTTTTTACATGTTCGTCTAATATCAAAAAGGAAGAGGTTACTAAAGTTAGGAAAATTCTCGTACAACAGAATAAAAATTGATAAGTGATGTAATGTATTGTATTTTTGGACGAAAACTGTACTGATGAAATGAAAATTGTATGATCCGGTATCGTACGACAAAAATTTTCCTGCTCGTCCCTTTGAATAATTTCGGACAAAAGCTGTGCACGAACGGTCAGATTATCTCATGATCGCTTCAAAAGTGGTATTTTTTTTTTGTACGATTTTCTGATCGTGTGTACTAGGCTTTAGCTGGAATGCTACTTGGTATCTATATCGGAAAATACATGTGAGCAATCAGTTGTATGTTTGGTAGCCACAGCCCTGACAGTTACAAACACTGGTTGACTGAACTTTGGTCATGTTTTATGGCTACCTGGCACACTCTATACATACACAAGAGCTAATCAATGTGTTCTGTTCAGCAGCTCCTATAAATTGTACGTTACAAAATAAAATGTAGGTAAATCCTGTGCCCTCAGTTATGTTATTTAGCTGTTACGCATTTGGGGATTAATGCGAAAACAGGCTTTGTACTTCTCTAAGGCTACTTTCACACTGAGGCATTTTTCAAGCGTTTTTGCGTTAAAAAAAGTGCCTGAAAAGCTCAAGAAAACTGCTTCCCTATCTGTGTGAATATATATCTCTGTATGTTTTTACATTGAGGCGTTGTGCTTGCGGTGCGGTGTAAAAACTCCTGCTTGCAGAATCTTTGGGGCATGTTTCAGGAGTTAAAAAAAAAAAAAAAAAAATCCCAAAAACGCCTTTTCCTTTTGAAATCAATGGAAAACACCTGAAAAACGCCTCTTGAGAAGCTTTTTTTTGTGCAGTTTTAAGTCATGTGTCCTTTAAATACCGTCAAGCCGTTTTTGCAGTGGATCAGTGTGAAAGTAGCTTAAATGTAGCGTTTCTCCTGAGGCAGATGTGTAATACCAGTGTTTCACTAAGGGCAAAGACATAAAATGAAGCCTTGCTGAGAAAATTAGTGATGCACTAGAGAAAGAAAGCCTAAGGCTAGTTTCACACTGATCTGTAGCAAAAACGCTTATGTGTTTTTACCGTGTTTTGTGGTGCATTTTTTACAGGACATGTGACCCAAAAACTACACCAAAAATTCAGGTGTGGTTTTGATGTGTTTTTACTGTGTTTTCCATTCATTTCAGTGCAGAGGAGTGTACCAAAAATGCAGCAAGCAGGATTTAAAAAAAAAATTAATTGGACCCACAACACATCAGTTTGAAGAGTTCTATAGGATTTCATTGACATACATATTTCTTCCGCTTTTATAACACAAAAGTGGAGGAAAAATGGAGCAGTGTGAAAGTAGCCTGATGCTGCAAATAGTTATTTTAGTTTTTTTTTCTCTCTTGTAGCTACTTTTATGCCTTTATTATATGGGTAGCTACCAAAACACATCTATATAAGCATTTCTCAACTGTTTTTCCCCAGAGAAACCCTTGGAATAACTTTCATGTCTCAGGGAACCCTCCAAAGACCAGATTGTTGGTGGTCAGTGAGAAACTGCCCCTTACGTTGGTGGCTAGTGGAAAGAATTTCCCACTTACAGTGGTGGTTAGAATGTCACGCTTACAGAAGGCCAACAAGGGATCTTGCAGCTGCCTCTACCTAGTGGTATTGACCCCTGAAATAGTAAGGCACCATCAAATGGAAGATCAGTCAGCAATAGCTCAAGGAACCCCCTTAGTAACCTCTGACTGTTGGAACCCTTGCTTGGAATGTCTGTGACATGTACATTACATAAGATGAAAACGTATGAACATCAGACACAATGAATCTTAAACCATAGAGATGAAGCTTAAAGATATTCCATGCTACTTAGAACATTTCATATAGAAAATGAAAATAAATTGCCTTGCTCAGCTATTTAGTTCCTCTGATTGGCTCTATATTTTCGGCATGTATGAGTAACCTTGCCCTTTATATGTTGAGCTAACAAAATCAAGCTTTCCATTTCGACTTCTTTATATTTGTGGTTTCCTTCATATACCATCTGCCTGTGATATTGATGGCTCTCATGGAATAATCCATTTTAGACGGATGCTAATCAAATTTGGATTTGCAGAGATTCCTCTATCACAGAGAACAATAAATCATGGAAAATATTTTCTCTCTGCTCGGTAATTCTTAGACTGGTAATATACGTCAGTATGGGAGAGAATCCAGCCTTACCCATGCCTGGAAAGCTGAGTAATGTTTTTCTGGATGTTGTTTCTCTTCTGTAGAGCTTAATGGACATTTCAACAATGCTTGGCTACAGCGCTGTTCAGGCCTCGTGTGACTCACCTGTATTAACACATGGATTTACAGACAGCAACAAGTCTCCTATAGTTCACTTCCAGTGTTTTCCTTTATTAGCTAATCGCATAAAAACTCTGCATGTCTAAATATTTAAAAATCTAGTGATAAGGACTGTGATTGGCTTGCATCATAGGGGGCTGTCCAGTACTTTGTTCATTTTAGCAGTACCCCAGACAGGCCAGTCATTCAGCTTCTCTATCAAACACCTAGACCTAGGAGAGTCCAGCAACAAGCCAGCACGTGGTGAGTCTTAGGAAATCACTTATAACTAAGCATGATCAACCAATATTAATGATTGCTGTCTTATATTTCTTGTGCTTGAGAAGATAGTTTTATGTTTTCACACCTGACAGCTTAAAAATATGGTAATGGCAGGTTGTGAGGAATTTTATGCTGCTAAGAAAGGGTTAAAATGACCCCTTAGGTAGTAGAAATCTTTCTCTAATGTCTCCCTGGAGGGTACATATGTCACGTGTAACATTCTAACTGGCCTAGAAGGCTGAAGAGCTGTTCGCTAGGTGATCTATTGGAGGTGTGGTGCTTTTTACAAAGTAGGTAGGGTGCTTGAAGTGACCTCTCCTTCTCAAATTGCTAGCTACCTTTCTGTTATGCTGACCCAATGGCTTCAACACTGTTAGTTACTGACCCAGAACAGTACTCCCAGTCATCAAAGTTTTCAAAGGAGAGTGAGGGGTCTATGGAACTTTATGCTCCATTAGTGTTCATATCTTTTAAAGGAAACTTTTGCTGTCTTCTCCTTTTGAAAATGTTACTTACCTCACTGTCATGCTGACCCCTTTGCCCTCTGGAGTCGCTGATCCAAAACAATTGCTAGCCGCGTTTTGGGTGGGCACGGCAGCCCAAACTCAGGGAAAAGGTCCCGGCACAATTTTTAGGAATCGCAATCCGCACGGGTACTGCACGTGCAGTGCAGTTCCCAGTGCAGGGGCAATTTCCATTGCATGCGGTGTGCCATTAGGATCAATGGCACCCACACACATCTCCTGAGTTTTTCTGTGCAGGTGGTCAGTGGTGTATTAAGGCAGGCTTTGAAATTGCCACTCGCCTGCTCGTCAATGGCGAGTGGAAATTATGGTGGGGGCGAGTGTGTCCCCCAGGGCCGTCTTGCTGAGCAGGCTCGGAGCTCAGGCCAGATCTGTCATTGTCACTGTGAACCATCAGACTGCTCAATAGCTGAGCGCAGTGAAAGCAAAGGAAGGAGTGTGTGATGTGCTCTTTGCCTCCCCCTACAGTGCAGTACCCGGCTCTGTGAGTGAACAACGAAGTACTGAAACTTTTTATAGGGTGTGTGTGTATACATGTGTGTTTGTGTGTCTGTGTGTACATGTGTTTGTGTATGTATGTACATGTGTCTCTGCGTGTGTACATGTATCTGTCTGTATGCGTGTCTGTACGTGCCTGCGTGTGTGTATACATGTGTCTGTATGTGTGTGTGTGTGTGTGTGTACATGTGTCTCTGTGGGTGTGTGTTGGTGGCGAGTAACTCTTAGGGCCTGGCTAGTAACCAGGCAATCAGTCAGCTTCTATCTTTCTTTCCCAAAGCACTAAAAGCCTAAAACCAAAAATGTAATATATTGCAGCTTTCCAATCCTTGGATGTGGTGGCTGTATCGGTTTTCTTTTCTTAGGCTTTTTCCCCGCTGTTTTCACATTGTGATCTGACCAGGAACACACCCTGTGTTACAGTGCCCCCATTCTGGATAAAGGAGCACAGGGGGAACCTTTGGACAGCAGCATTGTCAGTGTGGGTGGAGGAAAGTGTTAGATGTATTACTAGATTTAAATACATTAACAAATTGAAGCCAAACTCTAGTTAATACTTTAAAAGAATGACAGAAAACATGTTTTTTTTTATTTTGGGGTAAAGGTTTTGCATAGATAAAAGCGGATCATTGTAAGCACCCCTGTCAGTGTTAAATGGTTTGTCTAATTTCTGTAACCAATACTTTCTGCTGGAGTGCTTGTTCTTTTGAAAAAAAACAGACTTACTGGCTGGATCATTAGATCAAGATAGAAGAAAAAAGCCTAAAAAAGATGACAAATACAGCCGTCACATCCAAGAAATAAGCTGCAATATATTGTATTTTTCGCTCCTTAAGACGCACTTTTTCCCCCTCAAAAAATGGGGGAAAATGTCTGTGTGTCTTATGGAGCAAATATAGAGCGGCTGGCCCGGTATTCCCGCCGCCACCGTGTTAGAATACCGGGCCGGCTGCTTGGCTCTTTTGTGCAGCAGTACCTGCTACTCTTCAGTCCTACTTGTTCCTCGGTCCAGCGGTGTCCTCACCGTCTTCTCTCCCTGGCACCGGCATCTTTAGTGTGGGAATCCGACTGTGACAGCTTGCAGCTTCACAGCCGGGTGCCCACTGCGCATGCGCGAGAAGCGCTGCGCTTTGTGAATAATCCAGCAGTCTTCTGGGACCTGTCACACGTCCCAGAAGACGGGACGTGGGAGCGGGTACCTGTCAAATTCGGGTACCCACCCCCCTTCTGCTCCCCAAAGGTCTGCAGTCTCTGTCATCTCCCCAAAGGTCCGCAGTCTCTGGTCATCTCCTGTAGTATGTTCACAGTCTCTGGTCATCTCCTGTACCGTGTCCGCAGTCTCTGGTCATCTCCTGTACTGTGTCCGCATGTTCCACAGTCTCTGGTCATCTCCTGTACTGTGTCCGCAGTCTCTGGTCATCTCTACCGTGTCCGCAGTCTCTGTCATCTCCTGTACTGTGTCCGCAGTCTCTGGTCATCTCCTGTACCGTGTCCGCAGTCTCTGGTCATCTCCTGTAATGTGTCCGCAGTCTCTGGTCATCTCCTGTACTATGGTGTCCTTTTATGACACAGAGAATAGCTGCGATTCAATGGATATCAGCTATTCTCTGGTCATTCACAGTTTATAACACTCAGGAGATCATGTCAGCCCTTCTCTGGAGATCTGTGTTCTCCCTCCAGATTCTCCAGCCCAGAGCTGGAGAATCAGAGGGACCGCAAACTAAGCAGAGATAATTTACCTCTGCTTAGTAAAACTGATCTTTTACTGTAATCTCGCGAGATTATAGTAAAATCAGCCGTTTTCCAGAGTTTGTAGACCGTTCTCCAGCGTTTGCAGATCGTTCTCCCTTCGTTCGGAGAACTGCTTCATAAACTGCATTCACAGGAGAACTGTGTTCTCCGAGAATGCCGGAGAACTGAGCAGCGATCTATTACCGCTGGTTCATAAATGGACACCTATGTCCGCAGTCTCTGGTCATCTCCTGTACTATGTCCGCAGTCTCTGGTCATCTCCTGTACTATGTCCGCAGTCTCTGGTCATCTCCTGTACTATGTTCGCAGTCTGGTCATCTCCTGTAGTATTTCTGCAGTCTCTGGTCATCCCCTGTACTATGTTCGCAGTCTCTGGTCATCCCCTGTACTATGTTCGCAGTCTCTGGTCATCTCCTGTACTATGTCCGCAGTCTCTGGTCATCTCCTGTCCTATGTCCGCAGTCTCTGGTCATCTCCTGTCCTATATCCGCAGTCTCTGGTCATCTCCTGTACTATATCCGCAGTCTCTGGTCACCTCCTGTAGTATGTCCAGTCTCTGGTCATCTCCTGTACTATGTCCGCAGTCTCTGGTCATCTCCTGTAGTATGTCCGCAGTCTCTGGTCATCTCCTGTACTATGTCCGCAGTCTCTGGTCATCTCCTGTACTATGTTCGCAGTCTGGTCATCTCCTGTAGTATGTCTGCAGTCTCTGGTCATCCCCTGTACTATGTTCGCAGTCTCTGGTCATCCCCTGTACTATGTTCGCAGTCTCTGGTCATCTCCTGTACTATGTCCGCAGTCTCTGGTCATCTCCTGTCCTATGTCCGCAGTCTCTGGTCATCTCCTGTCCTATATCCGCAGTCTCTGGTCATCTCCTGTACTGTGTCCGCAGTCTCTGGTCATCTCCTGTAGTATGTCTGCAGTCTCTGGTCATCTCCTGTACTGTGTCTGCAGTCTCTGGTCATCTCCTGTACCATGTCCGCAGTCTCTGGTCATCTCCTGTACTGTGTCCGCAGTCTCTGGTCATCTCCTGTACTGTGTCTGCAGTCTCTGGTCATCTCCTGTAGTATGTCCGCAGTCTCTGGTCATCTTCTGTACTGTGTCTGCAGTCTCTGGTCATCTCCTATACTATGTCTGCAGTCTCTGTTCATTTCCTGTACTATGTCTGCAGTCCATTGGTTCAGAATATTTTTTTTTCTTGTTTTTCTCCTCTAAAACCTAGGTGCATCTTATGGTCAGGAGCGAAACATATGGTAATATGTTTGTTTTTGGGATTAAAGCACTTTAACTGAACAAGCTGAAGATAGAAGCTGATTGGTTGCCACACACAGATGCTCCAAATTCTGTCTGCTGCAGTTTTGATAAATTCTTCCTCGTGTTTTTTCTTAGAACTGATTTCCATAAAAAATGTTTAGATAAGATGGATGTTGACTACTGCCCAGGTAAATATTTCTTGATAAATCCCATAAGGAGGAAGCCATCTTCACATGCCATGAGGCAAGCTTAAGCAGCACAAGCGCCAAGAAGGGGCTGGAACCCGCGGTATATCGGCGGATGTCAGCGGTGGTTCCTTGGCCTCTTTGGCCCTGTATGGCAGTACCTATGAAGGACTTCTCTTTCATTCCTGTTATCCATAGCACAGGTGGTGAGTGGACTGTTACAGGACATTAGATATATGGTCCTCTGTGATCTATATGACCTATATATCCTATATAGAGTGTAAGCTCTGTCAGTGACTTCCCACATATTGTTTGTTTTACTACAGGATGGGGACATCATGGTGCTTTGTATAGGAAACAAGATATACCACATATATTTCAACAGGCAGAAGATCTATTGGGATGTGTCTTGTTGTTCCTACGAAAAGTGGTGTATAGTCCACACATATAGTGGTGAAGAAACCATTTCAAGCAGAGTGCTGCTTTGTGCATCTTTTCTTCCATCCTGGGAATTAATGGGGCATATTCTCATTCAAGAGCTCTAGGAAACAGCTGTTTATATTACAGATGAATGGGCCCCAACCACTTGTGCCGGCACAGGAATGTATTGCATTATATATTTGACATTTATGTCTTCCTTCATACAGGCTTGAGGCTTGATGTTCTCTTTTTGACGCATATTGTGCTTGCTGCATTGCATACATGTGATATTCATATCCATAGTATTATTTTTGGATTCCCTGATTGGGATTTACCATCATGGTAATAGCTTAATCTATTATATCTTATATTATGGTATGCCTATGGTATAATTTTTGGATACACCTCCCTAGGGAAGTGTTCACCTATGTGTCTGTGCTACAGGGACATTAGACTCTTGTAGTCATTTTTTCTGCTGCACATGCATTCAGACCGGTTTTGGTGTCATTTTATATGGTTTTAGGTCTGTGTGTATTGTCTCATACTGAGGTGATGGTAAACCAGGGCGAATGCCCATATGTCATATTTATATATGTGTAATAAAGCATAATTTTTGGAAATTTTTCTGAGTGTCACGTTCTGTTCACTATGTAGCCGCTTTTCTGTGAATCTCTTTTCACAAATCCCCCTTTTTGTATGCCTCTTTTGGCTACTGAATGGAGACCAAATATTGGGTGACACGATAATTTATTCAACAACCTCTTAATAACTATCTTTAGCGGATGTTGACTACTGCCCAGGTAAATATTTCTTGATAAATGCCAAAGCATTTATCAAGAAGGCATTGAGACATTGTCAGCATTAATTGTTACTCACTGATCATTTCTGTGAAGTTTTTTAAGAGGTTTGAGGTTTTGATGCTTTTTTCCTTCTAGTCACATGATTGTGAATGAGGACTTCACAGTGCTGGGATGTCACTGCTGGTATGAAAGTGTCAACGGCAGAAAAAGTGATAATGGCGTTTGTTGAATAAATTTGGGCTTTTGGTAAACCAAAAAGTGAAGAATTGCAGATTGATAATTATAATTGCAGATAAATAATTGTTTTGTTGATAAGTGTTTTGTATTATAGACACATAATGTGTTTTTCTCTGTTCTCCTTTTCTGTACATTTGTGATATTTACCTAACAATGTGTTGTGGTTAGGATGAGCGTCCGCATGATTGTGTGCTAAGGAACATGTTTCAGTTCTAACATGACCTATAGACCAAAGTCAGCAAACTTAGTGTGGGACTCAGTGTTGTGGAAGTTTTGATTGTTCTTCTTCAAAGTGCTTCGTATAATTTTACAGAAGTGTGACTGGAAGCAGGCTGCTTTAGTGAAGACTTGGCCTACATGCAAATACAGATTTCCAAACCTAAACTAAGTATTGATAATGCAAAGTGAGTTGGCCTTAGGCAATATGTCGCCTAAAGGAACTGTCTAATTTGATTTTTCTTTCTTTAGAGTGTACTTGCCTCCATCTATTGCACTTAGTTTGGAACCTGTCTGCTCTCTCCATTCTTTATTGGCATCTGTCAGTTTTTCTAGACACCAGGCAATGCTGTGAGACTGACACCCCCCCCTTCTCCACTCCAGCACACAGAGGGTAAATGAAATGACAGCCTCAGCTATCCATGTTTCCCTATGAGATTGTGTAGATGGGCTTGTGTCCTCTCTCTCCACTCAGGTCTCAGATTACACTCAGCTCTGTGCTGTGTGCTTTATCCTATCCCTGCCCCCTGGAAACTGAGATCTTTTGGTCTGTGTGTTTTAAGCAGCTGTGGAGAAGAAAGGGCTGCAGATAAAACAGGTGCAGTTTATGTATGAGGATTTAATTCATCACTGTGTATCACCTGAGGCTGGTCACTTTAGCAGATTTATTATCGCTTTATCACTTCCAGGGACATGGGCTTTGAAACAAAAAATGTGATCTAAAGCACAACATTGGAAATTACACTGATGAAACGTAACACGTAGACCTCCCTTGCAAACAAAATTCATGCTCTTGCATGGCTAAAACTGCTGGTAGACTCATCAGCATCTCAAATTTTCAGGATGCCTGCATTTCCCTGCTGCATTCTGTTGCTCCCCTAGTGACTACATCACTAGCGTGTTTTTGCAAGTCAGCAATGGCAGCCTCCCTAACACTTTCTGAACAGGTTTTCTTAAAAGAGCTTGGCCCCACCCCCTCCCAATCAGTCTCTTTTGCAGTGGACATCCCGATTGATTAAAAGATTCAGAAGATTGAAGGGGTAAAGGAAAGCTTGAAAATTTGACATGGACATGGGCACATTTTTTTCCAGCTGACTGGCACTATGAGCTTTGATCTTTTTTTTTTTTTTTTTTCTTGGAAATCATCTTATTCAAGGTACAACACTTTTTGTTTGCTTTGGTGTATTTATTTGGAGCAAATGTACTGACAAAGAACATGCTAAATGAATGAGAAGGCACAGTGAGCAGATGTATGACTTTGTGGGGGACCACAGTGGCTAAATGGTTCAAATCCCAACCTCGGCACCACCTCCCTGGAGTTTGCATGTTCTCCCTGTGCCTGTGTGGGTTTCCTCCGGGTACTCCGGTTTCCTTCCACACTCCAAAGACATGCTGGTAGGTTAATTGGCTCCTGTCTAAATTGTCCCTAGTATGTATATGTATGGATGTGAGTTAGGGACTTTAGATTGTACACCCCTTGAGGGTTAGGGACTGATGTCAATGTACAATATATATGTAAAGCGCTGTGTAAATTGATGGCGCTATATAAGTACCTGTAATAAATAAACAAATCAGTCTGCTTCTAAAGGCTCGGTTCACCGGTTCACATCTGTGATGCCACTGCTGGACCTGCACAAATACCAGCAGCCGCAACCACCCTCAAAGAAATGCGGGACCTGCGGGCAGGTGTCATTAATTCTAATGGCACTCCGCCCACACTGGAAATCGCAACTATACTGGGAACCTCGGTTCCCGTGCAGACTGCAATTTGAAAAAAATAGTGCAGGGACTTCTTTCCTGTGTGTCCCGGTTCACAGAAGCCCTTTCAATTAAATGGTCTCTCGTGTCCCGGGGCACAGAAGCCCTTTCAAATGAATGGTCTCTGGTGTCCCGGGGCACAGAAGCCCTTTCAAAAGAATGGCCTCTCCTGTCCCGGGGCATAGAAGCCCTTTAAAATGAATGGTCTCTTGTGTCCCGGGGCACAAAACCCCTTAAAATGAATGGTCTCTCGTGTCCCGGGGCACAAAACCCCTTAAAATGAATGGTCTCTCGTGTCCCGGGGCACAGAAGCCCTTTCAAATGAATGGTCTCTGGTGTCCCAGGGCACAGAAACCCTTTCAAATGAATGGTCTCTGGTGTCCATGCAAATCGCGGCGTGCATGGCCACACAGGTGTCAAACTAGCCTCACTGTCCAATCAGCAGGCTGGAAATGGAGGGATAATACCACTGTCTGCATCAAAGAAAGTGTTATCCCATCCTGTTTGTGCTGTTTGGCACAGCTGTGTAAAGCTCAGACCTGGATGGAAAAAAATTCATAAAACCTCTTCCATACTGCATATGAACTTCATCTGGTTGCCTGAAGTTCAGCTTTTAGCCCACTGCCGCACTGAGCGACACCACGTCAGCCTTCTCACCATGGCCTTCAAGATGAAGGTGCAGTAAACTCCCAGGCGATAACATCATGTGCGGTTTTGCCCTCATAAAATGAATCAAGTGTTGGCTACGGTGACAGTTTTAGAACTTGCCTCATTAAAGCAAGATCCCCAGTGAGCTGGCAGTTCAGAGTGCTCAAATCCTGAAATAGATTTGCAGTTCATTTATGTGATAACATCGACATTTCATATGCTGCTTCCTTCACATAAAGAACCGACAGGGTACAAACACGCAGGAGAAGACTGGAACCGAAGCGTTTCTGCATGACAGGACCGGTGGTTGTACAGTCTGTGTTTGTAATAAATGTCACTTCTTATAATAACTTCAATGGGTAGATCCAGCTTTGTAAGCATACAGCAGACAGAGTCCATCTGGAGTTCTGCTTAAGGCTGCAACCTAGAAATGAGCACACTTCTGTGCCAGTATCTTTCCACATTTGCTTAATCCTCTCCCATATTTTCCTGTTTCCTTTTCTTGGCGAATGGAATGCTCATCATATAGATGTTATTTATGTTGACAACTCCTTATGGTTCCAAGTGCTGTTCATATTGTTTTCAGTAAAAAGCAGATTCTTGATTTACTGATGTTACCTGTCACGAGATAAATATGCAGGCTGACTTTGTTGTAGTGATTGTGAAGCTTCTCATTTGATCTATTTAAAATAACAAACATGTTATACTTACCTACTCTGTGCAAAACCATTGCCCCGATCCTACTCTTCTCGGGTCCCCTGTCAGCGCTGTCCGCTCCTACCCCCTTCCCCTATAGCAAGTCTCTTGATATGGGGGCATCTGTACGTGCTCACTCCTGAGCTGGCTCAGTGTGTCCATTGATACACAGAGGGCAGCTAAGCCCCACCTCCACTCTCTCTTCACTGGCTGTGATTAACGGCAGCCTCTCTGTCCAATAAGGAGAGAGAGTGGAGAGAGCCGCTGCTCTTGTGCACATTGTTGTATCATGATCAAAGGGAAGTATAAGGAGGGTCTGGGGGAGCAGCACACTGAAGGTTTTTTTTTTTTTTGCCTTAATGCAGATAATGCATTAAAGTGATTGTAATCCTCAGATATTATGTATGAACAAAGCATATCCCTCTATAGTGTGTACTTGTCTCAATCCAGAACACTAAGGTGTTTATTTACTAAAGCTGAAGAGTGCAAAACCAGGTTCACTTCTGCATAGAAACCAATCAGCTTTCAGGTTTTATTGCGAAAGCCTAATTGAACAAGCTGAGGTTAGAAGCTGATTGGTTTCAATGCAGAACTGAGCCTGATTTTGCACTCTCCAGCATTAGTAAATACACCCCTAAGTGTCATTTCTGTCTGTTGCCTCATTCCTCTGTTATCTGCATGAGTCACTTCTGACAAGTTTTCCTGACACCAAGAGAAAAAAGGTGACGGGAGGGACCTCCAGCAGATTGACAGCCTCAGCTCTGTTCCTGTGTGCTGGGTGAAAGGGGGTGTGTCCCTTCCCTCCAATCAGCTCTCAGAGCTCTCCTCACTGATGTAACTTCAGCTCCCCGTTCCCTGCTTTTCAGAGCTGAGAGATCCTGTGTAAATTCTGCACTTTCAAATGTATGTAGGGGGAGAGATCGCAGTAGATAAACAGGTCCAACTTATGTAGGAGGAATTGTTTTATCTCTGTGTATCACCTGAGGCCAGTCACTTCACTGGGTATATGTAATGGATTACATCGACTTTAAGTTAGAAACCTTCAGACTTTAGAAACATTTTTACTCTCTGCTTTGGAACATGCTAGTTGCTCAGCTGCAAGTTGATGCTTTGGCCTGAGTGACCAGCCCAGAACAAGTCTAGAGATAAAGTACTTTTGCTCTACTGAATATTTCCTTCAGGTCTGGGACTCAAAAGTACTAAAGCCAGAAGCAGCCAGACAACTAGACTTTCCAGATGGAGGCTAGCAATGACAGTCCCTACTTCTGGCATGATGGTTGTACCACTGATGATATTGTGGATTGAAAGGGTATGCAAGTACTATTAGATTCCGCCATTCACACTACACAGCATGGATGGAGGAATCCACTGTTGGCGATTGTATTCAAGCAGCCACAACACCCACAGTTGCTTGTATACCTGAACAGTGACTGCATCTAATAGGATCCAGGCATTGATCGGCCAACAACTTTTCATCTGACTCCACTGGTTTCCAGTCGAAATGTGTCAAGCCAAATGGTGCAGATGGGGCCACCTTCGGCTTGTGTTTTTGCCATTTCAGTAGGAATTCACCAAGATTCAAAGAGTGCATGACCAACATATTATATAGTTGGAATAAGGTGCAAGTCACTAGTCACTTGGGTCATTTATCAGTGTGTGTTATCAGCTGAGTGCCAGATAGATAGTATACCTGTATGTGGATGTTATTACCCGTCACTAAGAAACCCTTAGGCCTCATGGACATTGGGCGTTTTTACAGCTGCTATTTTTGGCTTCTGGGGCTTTTTTCTACAGCTGGTAAACTCCCCAGCATGTTATCCTATGTGTCCATTCATACATGGGCTTTAATTAGCATTTTTTGGCGGTGGCATTTTTTTTTTCATCTGACCCCACTGGTTTCAATTCGAAATGTGTCAAGCCAAATGGTGCAGATGGGGCCACCTTCGGCTTGTGTTTTTGCCATTTCAGTAGGAATTCACCAAGATTCAAAGAGTGCATGACCAACGTATGATATAGTTGGAATAAGGTGCAAGTCACTAGTCACTTGGGTCATTTATCAGTGTGTGTTATCAGCTGAGTGCCAGATAGTATACCTGTATATGGATGTTATTACCTGTCACTAAGAAACTCTTAGGCCTCATGGACATTGGGCATTTTTACAGTTGCTGTTTTTGGCTTGGCTTCTGGCACTTTTTTCTACAGCTGGTAAACTCCCCTGCATGTTATCCTATGTGTCCATTCATACATGGGCTTTAATTAGCATTTTTTGGCGGTGGCGGTTTCTTTTTCATCTGACCCCACTGGTTTCAATTCGAAATGTGTCAAGCCAAATGGTGCAGATGGGGCCACCTTCGGCTTGTGTTTCGGCCATTTCAGCAGGAATCTACCAAAATTCAAAGAGTGCATGACCAACGTATGATATAGTTGGAATAAGGTGCAAGTCACTAGTCACTTGGGTCATTTATCAGTCTGTGTTATCAGCTGAGTGCCAGATAGTATACCTGTATATGGATGTTGTTATTCGTCACTAAGAAACTCTTAGTCCTCATGGACATTGGGCGTTACAGCTGCTATATCTGGCTTCTGGAGCTTTTTTCTACAGCTGGTAAACTCCCCAGCATGTTATCCTATGGGGTTTATTTACTAAAGCTGGAGAGTCCAAAATCAGACTCCCTTCTGCATAGAAACCAATCAGCTTCTAACCTCAGCTTGTTCAATGAAGCTTTGGCAATGAAACCTGGAAGCTGATTGGTTTCTATGCAGAAGGGAGTCTGATTTTGGACTCTCCAGCTTTAATAAATAAACCCCTATGTGTCCATTCAAAGATAGGCTTTAATTAGCATTTTTTGGCTGGATAAAAAAAAAAAAAACAGAACTAGTGGGTTTCAAGATTAGTTTTTTGAGCTGTAAAAATGCTCTAACGTTGGTAAACGCAGTAAAATGCGGTAAGCCTGCATTTTTGAGCCACATTTTTTTTTTTTGTGCTAAACGCTAACGCAGCTAAATGCTAATGCAGAAAAATGTTTTCTTTTACCAGGACTTTATGCAGCTAACACTACCTGCTTTTTTAAAAACACCCAGTGTGCATGAGGCCTAAAAGGTTTGGTTTTATGTAGTGATGTACAAAACAAAAACACTTTGATGCTATTCTGTCATCTGGTTGATGCATAGAAATAGAAACATATTCGCATTCTACATATGCATTCAGTATTTGTAGAGAGCTTGAAGCAACAAAATCTACATATCATCTGACATAAGAAACTCGATTCATTTCCTGCCCTCCCTCTGACCTACTTACATTCTGTTCTGGCATTGTAGCCATTACCGCACCTTCATAGGCTTTGTGATGGTTTGGTTTGTGTATTGGCAGTTTCAGATGCACTGCATTTATATTTTTCCAATAATACCAATAAAACAATAATTTGAGAATAAAACACATTGGGAGTTATTTACTAAGCCAGGAGCGTGCAGAATCTGGTGCAGCTCTGCATAGAAACCAATCAGCTTCCAGGGTTTAATGCCAAAGCTTTATTAACCCCTTTGTGCCGGCACCTCCCGGGCCCTTTAAGAGTTTCAGAAGCCGGGATGCGGGCGGGGTTTTAGGGTCATGTGACCACCGTGATTCGCTGTCATGGCGGTCGCTTGATCGGAAAAGGTTCCGATGTCAAGGGGAGATTGGGACCTTTCCATGAGTCACTGACATATGTGTTGGGAGCATGTGGGGTGCACGCTTTCAGCACATATGTATTTTCTAATGGCACGCAAATATGCGACCGCTTGGCATCAAGGTCCAGACGCCGAGAGGCCGCATATTTGCGTGCACTTGGCGTCTAGGGGTTAAGCAAGCTGAACTTAGAAGCTGATTGGCTGCCATGCACAGCTGAACCAGATTCTGAGTGCACTAGTTTTAGAAAATTTACCCTATAATCTATCTCATAAAAGCACAAAATGTATTTGCATGACACAAGTCAAACTTTCCCATAGAACAGTGTGTGTATTGTACCATAAATTTGACATTGTATTCATATTTGAAGTACAAACTGTTGTTCAGCTGTGAACTATGTCGGATGAATGGGATATTCCATTAAATCTGGAAGTCACCTGTTTTTTTTTGTCACCCTTCTGTGTAGTAAATTCCCCACAGCCACAACTAGATAGGCAGCTATAGTTGGAGATTTCCCTTTCTTCAGCTGATGACATTGGATGATTACATTGGTCCTTGATGTGAACTGGCAGGTGAGTTGGCATCTTGCATATGTTACATGGAAAAAAGAAGCTGTAGGAGCTCTACATTGAAGGGCCTCAATCAATTAGGCACCTATGGGCTTGTTTAGCAAGACTCTTAGTGAGGCTAGGTTCACATCTGTGTGGGTGGTGCCACTGTGGATCCCTCCAGCCGCAGCACCCACACAGAGGAATGCGGACCCGCGGAAGGGTGCCATTATTTCTAATGGCACGGCGCCCGCACTGGAAAACGCAACCGTACTGGGAACCGAGGTTCCCGTGCGGGCTGCGTTTTCAGAAGAAGTGCAGGGACTTCTTCCCTACGGGGCATGGGAGTCCATTCAAATGAATGGGCTCTCGTGCCCGTGCAAAACACAGCCGCATATATGTGAACCAGGGGTAAATAGATTTCAATTAAAGTATGTCTAAAGGCAAAACGTTTCAGTTTTGGGTAGAGTGCAGATAGATTAGGACACCTGTCACCTTTTTTTTTTTTGCTTTCTGTGACTCCGTTAGGGAGATTCACCCTCTTGTCCTGTTTTACCATTTTTATTTAAAATGAAAGTTCATGAAAATTCCAAATTTTGGGTTGCCCCCAGAAAAGTCATAGAGGGCAAATCTTCCAATTGAATTTTGCAAATGCACTGTAAGTCGCATGATTTCAAAATCGGCTTTGATTTGACCGGGGGTTAAGCTCCAAGTTAAGGCTGGCCATACAATATTCGATTTTCTTGAGATTTTTGGTTTAGATTTACCAAAAACCATATAATAGGAGGTCAAAACTAAGAACACTTTCAACTGTATCCAATTAGGCAAGCTCTTGTACTACATAGTTGAAGGTAAATCTAAAGGAAATTGGGCGGAAATGGGACAGGAAATTGTATAGTGTATGGCCAGCCTTCGATAAGGTAAGGTTTCATTAGAAAATGTATTTGTAATTCTTCCCATTTCATTTACCCATCGGAGGTATCTATAGATTTTCTCTAACTTTCTGTCTTGTCTGACACCATCCAAATAGGCAGGAATTAAGAACAATCTCTCTTCCCCCACTCTTTTCAAAGCTAAAAAACGTTGCAGACGTAGTAACACGTGGTCAGAATAGCAACAGGTGCACAGCTCCCGATGTACACAGGACGATGTCTTTTGGCACATTG